TGGCTCGTCGTCGTCGTCGTAGTAGTACCAGTAGTAATAGCAGTAGCAGTAGCAGCAGCAGTAGTAGCAGCAGCAGCAGCAACAGTAGTTCCCTCCATCGTTCAGTACGTCAATGATTCTTTTGCACGACTATGTTCGTTCGTTCTAGCCGATGCTAGCTTCACTACTTCTGCCTGTCTTGTCTGTTGTCACTGCTTCACACTGCAAGGGACTTTGGCTTGGGGATCTGCTTGAAGCTGAGCTCCGAGCAGTCATGTACTTCAGGTCGCTTTTGGTCCAGCCCCAGCCATCATTCAGCTGCCTCACAGACGTCTTTGTAAATCGAAATCAACAGGAGCTGCTGCAATGCGCATGCCGGCATTGGTGGAGGCCTCGAGGCACTCTTCAATGCCAGTCAGATCGTTGCTACTCTATGGAAATCCCCATAGTTCACTGAAGAATGGAAGCATGGAGTTGCGATTGGTGCAGAAGACATGGACGGAAACTGAAGCCAAGCCCTTTCAGTCAGCAGCCAAGATACCGAAACATACAAGCCTTAGCACAGCAGCCTGAAAACTAACACCCCTCAGCCTTAAACCCTGAAATGCTCAACCTCGTACCCCGACATCGAAATGCTGCAATGTCCTGCAAGCGAAAGCCTGAAGCCGCATCAACACGCGAGTCTTTGAGTTGCCGGGCCGGACGAGGCTGCGGCTGGGACCCAGTCGTTTATGCTCCTGTGAGCTGTATGATTTTAGGATTCAGCGCTGAGGGTTTAGGGGAGGTAGACCAGGAAATCGCTGATCCGTCCTATGAATGGCCTGCAGCAATCGATTCATCTACCTGTCCAAACTACCTACCTTTGAGAGCGCAGGTGTGTGTGTGTGTGTGTTGAACTTATGCATGTATGTGTGCATGTATATGTAAGAACACACATAAATATATATAATATAGAATATGCTTATACACACACAACAAATATATGTGCTTCTTATGCGCACTATGAATCCTACCATACCTCCTTGAATGAAAGATCCCAGCGCAAGCAAGCTCACCTCGACACATGTTGCGCACAGGTAGATGCCGAAGGAGATGGACGCCCTGGCCAGGCCGTGTGCATGGATATGTATGCGTGTCGAATCCTGTCTTCCTTTCAGAGCTTGACCGAGCACGGCCTTTACCTGCTTGCCTGCCTGCCTGTCTCTCGATCTGCTCTGTCTCTATGTAAGTGTAAGTGTTTGTGCGCGTGTCTGTATCTCCGTGTCTCTCTATCTCTGTTTTATCTCCATCTCTCTTGTCTGCCTTGCCCTCTGTCTCGGTCTTTCTGTCGATGCCTATGTCTCTGTCTCTCTTGCCGCTTCGGCCGGTCTAGGCTCGGCAGTCGATCACTGCCCTCTCCAGGTCACTTTGCACCCATGCAGCGACAGCGGCAAAAGAGGTAACAGCATAAGAGTTTCAACAGAGTTTTGGACCGCAGCATACTACGACAACAGGAAGTATAAAGAGGAAGCGACGCAGAAACATAAAAACCTCTACTCACCACGATGTTATGACGATGTGGACGATGACGCTGTTCATGGGGGCCAAAGATGGCGAAGCAGTTCGTCAAACATGAGCCTGGAAGCAATGATCCAAAGAGAAATATGCAGCCGATCTCGGATATGAAGCCCTTCTACGGTCATGCAGTTGCAACATCACTACAGGATACCTCAATCCTAATTCAATCCAACACTCTAGGCTAGGCTCCAAGCCTCTAGCTCAAGCACCGAGTCAACTGGAGTATCACTTGGAGCTTGCAACAACAAAAGGCCGCGTTAGCCGCTGAGACTCCGCGCCACTCCGGCCCCTCGGCGCCACAGTCCGCACACCGACGATCCTCATGCTTGCTGTCAATGCTTTGCGATCAGAAGACTCGAAGTCGAAGCTAAACTAGGAAAATTGCAAGGGCTCACAGCTAGTGCAACAGACACGCGTCCGGCACAACTACAGCTGCGAGTACCAACTGAAACACGACGACGACTACCACCGTAATGATCAACATCACTACCACAACTCCGACTTCTTCTGTCAATACCACCACCGCCACAACCACCACCACCGCCGCCACCATCACCAACACCACCACGACGGCAACGACTTCTACAACTCTACTGCTACTCTACTGCCACCAGCACTACCACTGCCACTGCCACTGCCGCTGCTGCTGCTCCTACTACTACTACGACTCCTCCT